GCTCACCCAAAGGGTCTCACAGTGACTTAGAACATAAAAACCGATAAGGTTGAAAACAACATACAAACAAGCAACCCTAGAGTCGGATTCGACTGGCTTTCGAGCAAGAGAACCTTTACCTTTATCCCCATACCACTATTAAAACAGCCTAAACATGTGGTCACCCTCCAAAGACTAACCTAAACAATTCCATATGTTGTCGAAACGTGGACACAGAGAGTACTCTATCTTCTGTGTTATACCTCTGAGGATGCCGGTCACAGCTAGTGGCGAAACATCAGGTCCTACAATGCCAAGACCACGGCCACACAGCCCGGAAAATCTACAACAGCTACTAAACAATTCAGCTTTACATGCCCTGTGGAAACTAAACAGATCTAATCGCCCGGTTTTATCACACCACTCCACAGTGATGATGGAACGGACAGAGACTTCTTGGGAAGGGTGACTGAGCCATAAGCCATACCTTGGGGATTGTGTATCCTCGGAACTGGGTGTCACGGATCACACGCCGTGCGAGCCCCATGGGGATCATGTCAGCGAACCTCTGGATCTCATGGATCACGGCCTCGGTGTAGGGCATTTGTGGGCGGTCGTCCATCTTAGGGCCACGGTTCCTGCCGATCACCTGGTCTATCTCCTGATGGACCTTCTCTGTTCAAAAAGCCACAGGACGTAAAGACGGTATTTAGATGGGTTCCGTTACAGACACACCTTCCTGAGAACCAGCAAGGGATCCAGTGGGCTTCTGCTGCTGTATCCCCAGTTCCGTAGAGCGGTAAAGACCGAGCTGTTCCGGCAAGCGTTTTAATAGTTCTGACCACACTGACTGTTCTAGCACTTTATAACAGATGGCCGCCACGTCTTAATCTTAATTTTAATAAGTTGTAATTTGATATTTTATTGATTGTATTGTTTTAGACCTGATATTGTATTAATTGTATACTGGTTTTTAACTATTGTAAGCCGCCCTGAGCCGCCTAGGCAGGAGGGCAAGGTAAAAGTCTAACTAATAAATAAATAAATAACAGCATGGGGCACAGCCGGGAACACAGGAAGTATGCTGGAGAAAGGTGTGCTCACATTTCCCCCTGGAATGGAACTCCCCATAACCAGAACGGGAAGCCAGCCAGGTGGACGGTTTGCGCAGCCTTCAGTGGACCCTGCCAGGCCATTTCCACACATGCTGAAGAACTCACACATCTAGAAGTCTACAACGTTCTTGACATTTAACTCTGGGACATATTCCAACCAAAGCCTCTTTTGCCCTGCTAGGAAGGCTGCACCTTCCTTCCCCCGTCCCACAATCACCTTCGATCTCTGGGTATTTGAGCAGAATCAGGAAGCCGTAACGCAAAGTGGTGCTGACAGTTTCGGTCCCAGCAAAAAATACGTTGACCGTTGTCGTGACTATATTCTTCAGAAAGAACTCTGTGTTCGGGTTTTTCTCTTCCTTGGCAGAAGAAAATGGAAACATGTTTTACAGATCATGACTGCCACTTTCTGAGACTCTCTTTCCCCATCACATCAGAACATAAGAGGAGCCATGTTGGACCAGGCCAGTGGCCCATCCGGTCCAACACTCTGTGTAACAGAGTGGCCAAAAAAACCAGGTGCCATCAGGAGGTCCACCAGCAGGGCCAGAACTCCAGAAGCCCTCCCACTGTTGCTCCCCCAGCACCAAGAATATAGAGCATCGCTGCCCCAGACATCAGAACATAAGAGAAGCCATGCTGGATCAGGCCAATGGCCCATCCAGTCCAACACTCTGTGTCACACAGTGGCCAAAACCCAGGGGCCAGCAGGAGGTCCATCAGCAGGGCTAGAACTCCAGAAGCCCTCCCACTGTTGCCCCCCAAGCACCAAGAATACAGAGCATCGCTGCCCCAGACATCAGCATATAAGAGGAGCCATGTTGGATCAGGCC